ACTCAAAACCAAACCAGATATTTACATAATTGATAGCATTATCTACACTTATGCTAACATTGTATATGACAGGAACTAAATTTCTTACATGGTACACTAGGGGGTTTGAGAAAAATATAGCATATAATTTAAAAATTAAGTAGTAAAAATTAGAGGGATAGGGATAGAAAAAGGAAGAAAGCAGAGGGGTGAAGTGTGTGGGGTGATATATATAAAATAATTGTGTGCAGTATAGTTTAATTATTGCAGAGAAAGTTGCTCTAGTCAGGAATTGCAAAAGGATAAAAAATTAATAATAATCAAAAAGAAAATAAGAATAACTACCAATAGAAAAGTTTATAAAAGAGGAATAGAAAAAAAAGTGTTTTTTCCTTGTTGAGAGAGTGTATGCCAGCTGGCCTCCATCAGTGCAGTAAGTGTTCTCCTCCTGTCTCTGGCTCTCAACTTTCTGTCTGTGATTCTTTTGTTGTATTTACTCATGTGTCCCCATTTGGGCCCAGTATTGCCTGGGATTCCTCTCTGGCTATAGCATGTGTTCCTTGTTCTGTGGTCAGTTAAGAATCGAGACCAGGGACAGTGATTGGAGTAAGGCAAGCAGATCCTGTGGAGTAGCAGCAACTTCCAGGGACTTGCTTCTTGGGAGTGGGTTAGCTATGCCCCACTGCAGGGTTCTGGTGGAGGTGGGGAACATTCAGGTATGTAAAGTAGCAGTTGGGGTTAGGGCACAGGAGTGTTTGAGTAGTTAGTGGGTCAGAGAACATTCAGCTAAGTGCACCCACTCTCATAGCCCATGCCTTACACTGCACAGGGGATCCAGTGGCAGCTTTGGCTTGTCCATAGCAAGGGTTTCCCCTTCAACACTTAGGCCTCTGGTTAGAAGTTTTCTTTGCAGAGTGAGCAGCCAATATACGCAAGGTGGGCAGTGGGGTTTGGACTATAACTGGTTAGCTCATTCCCATGCCCACTTTTGCCCTGAGAAGGGGGCCCAAGGAACAAGGCTTGGTAGACTCTGATCAGCCCCACAGTGGCTAACCTGTGGGCAGTTGTATATATGTATATATGCTTGGCAAGGTGGTGGGTTTAAGGTAAGAGTCAATTAGAGGGGACTGTACTGTGTTGCTCATTCCTACACCAGCTTTTTGCCTTGGGCCAGGGGACACAGTCACAGGTTGGCTTCTGTCTAGCTGGGGTTAGGCTTGTCAACCTCCCATTTGCCCTTTGGGAAGTTGTTTCATTTGTTGGGTGGCTCTTGATCCTAGTACACTGGGTTAGAATGGTCTAGGAATGGAGCAAATCAGTTTCCTGGGCTCTGCCCAAGCTAAGTTTTCTGTTTATTTATTTATTCATTCACTTATTTATTTATTTATTTATTTAATAGATCTAAAGTTTAGTATTTTTAAAATTTTCTCTAGCCACTCTCTGTCTAGCATTTTACTGGTGCCCTCTCCTGATTTTACTAACTTTCCCATCTTACCTTATATCCACACACCTGAAGTTTCATTTCTGGTTCAAGGAGATGCAGAAATGTGGTGGTTTTCTGCAATCTGCCATCTTAGGTCTCTTGGGAGGTGACATTTCTCTAAGTGGGCAGTGTCTCTGAGAAGTGCACAATCCAAGGGAAGTCATGCAATCAAAACTCAGTGACATGCAAAAAGACATGGTGAGTAGACAGTATGCCAGATGAGCCACAATAGCTTTGCCGACTCAGCAGTCTGCCTTGATGCCAAAATCTTCTAGTCACGAGGGTCTTGCATTTTTATACACTTTTCAAAACATCTTTTTTGACCTGTGATATCCTTTCTAAGAACTAAGGCAAGAATGATTATGATTGCTTAGGTGTGTTTGTTACCCAAGTTAGACTGTAGGAGTGGGTCCCAAAATAGAGAACAGAACTTTTCATCTGCCAAATATCCAGATCCTGAGGTTCCCTGTATGGAGGATTCTAGAGGAATGTTTCAGGTAATCAGAAACCAGTGCTTAATTGGAGGGGGAAGCAGGCCACTAGAGTAGCTGACTAAATGAGGACTATTCATACATTCACTCATTAAACATGTGTTGAATGTGCACCAGTGCCAAGGGCCATTTTGGGAGTCAGGAATGTGAGAAAAAATGTAGACATGGTCCATTCTCTTATGAAACTCATGCAAAAGATACTTGGGTATAGCTGGACATGATGGTGCATGCCAGCATTCTGGAAGCTGTCTGGAGGCTAAGTGGGAAGATTGTGAGGTCCAGGCCAGCCTGGATTACATAATGAGAACCTACAGGCAGAGGGAGAACAGGGAGCAGGAGTGCAAGAGAGACTTAGGTGTATTAGGTGCATAAGTACATTCTGGCTTCCCAAAGTCATTGGAAAAGATGAAAAGAGCTAAGAATTTCCAGGTCGTACTGATTTTTGTTTACTGAGAAAAGTCCTTTTGTATTCACAATGCTGCTTCTTTAGGCTTTGCACTGAGCTAGCATGTTAAACTGTGATATGCTTGTACATTTAAAAAAATGCTTCCAAATTGCTACTTTCCTAGAAACATCTCAGTTTGTTGCTAATCCTAGACATGCCTGTGGGAATGCTAGAATGCCTTGATGGGAATTTCAACTAGTTTTTCCTTAAATGTTAGCAAATACATACTAATTTGCTTAATCCTTTTAAATAGTGTGAATAATGGACTAAAGGAACAACTAAATAGGCATGGAAAAACATCACAATTAAGGGAAAGTAAAGAACTTCAAAGTTCATCTTCCTTGAATTCTTAGTGTCTTAGGATTATATTAAATAGATGTCAATGATTCCCTAACTTGGGGTCAATAGATACCCTTCAGTGTGGTCCAAGATTTTCCTGATATTGTATGGAAGCACTTGTAAACATGGATCCATAATTCTGATCTTGAAAGTCAAGAATGACATAAATCTTTTGAATGTGTTCCATTGAGATGAAAAGAATAAGAAGAAAGAGTAACAGGGGGATGAATTTGATCAAAGTATTATATATTATAGTCAAGTATGGAAACATCACAACGAAACCCTTTTGTGAAATTAACATATACTAATAAAAAAGAATGATTTAAATATTTAGGCACCTTGATTTTGTAATTCCATTAAGAACCCAGGACAAAGCAATATGTGTGATGTTTACTCTAGAGAAAAATTGGAAACATCCTCTAGATGTCCAAAAATTGATGAAGCATTATAAAATCTGTTTTGTTTGCTCAACTTAATATGCACCTTTGTAAAGAAAAAAATATGAAAAAGATAGTACCATCTATGAGTATCTCCATGGATGACTTTACAGACTTGTAGGATACAAGGCAGTGTCACAGAACAACACAGGCCTAGGAGTCAGAAGACCTGGACTCTAGCCCTAGTTTCCTTGTTACCAGCTTTGTGACCTCGGCAGTCTCAGCCCCAGTTCACTTATCTTTGGAGCAGGGGGAAACCATCGTCCATAAAGTTTTTTTAGATGATCAAATGTATGTGGAAATGCTACAGAAGCAAGGTGTTACCGAAAAGCAAGAGCCTGTAGAGTAGGTCTCCTGTCCATACCTATAGTTGGTGTATGTTCTTGGTCACTAGAGGGAGCTTCAGGATTCAGGGGAAAAAAAACCATTGATGTCTGTTCTTGAAATCTTGAGGCCTCTATAAAGAACCCTTTAAAAAGTGTTTGAATTTCATAAATATCCATTTAGAGATTTTCAAGTTAAGATAAAGGTCCATAAAAGCAAATGTTACTCAATTCCGGTGACAGATTTTTCCACCCATTAACCCACAGGATTCTTCCTTCTAACTTTCTCTGTGGTGAATTTAGTTTGTGGGAAATCATAGTGTTGATGTAGAATCAATTTTAAAGCAAGGGGGAAAAAAGTAGAAAACAAAACTTCTAGAAGGCCATTGAAAGAAAGTACTTTTCCCTTAGCAAAACTATTCTTTGTTAATTCTATAGTACATGGCAGGGTTAGTTGAGAATTTTTGTAATCAGCCAGAATGAAGAAGTACATTGTCTAACTTTGGCTTTGGTTTTCTTAATGGCTCTCTCTCTGAAGTTCTTAATTAGTGTGCTTTTCTCATGCTAAGGCTAGAGTGAGAGGGACCTTATTCATTTCAAAAAGTGTGGCTATTATAGTAGAGGATCCCAGGATGGTCTGAAGGAGGAAGTAGAGTGAATGACATTGGCCTTATATGTCAGGCAATCAGAATTTCACTAAACCCATTGTGTATTTTAGGGACAGTATCTGTCTCCTTTTGGGGTTTCAGTTTCTGTCTGATTCTGATCAATACCCTATCCATCTCCCCCCACCGCTCACATTTACACCCGTGGTCTGATGAGCTTTCTTCACATAGTGTGGAACATTAGGTGACCAGACCCCATCCGCCAGATCAAGAAAGGCAAAGTTTTGCAGGAGCACAAAACTCTTACATTTACCTGGTTTATTTATCTAATTTTTCAAGTTTATTTTATGACAGGGTCTCATTGTGTAGCACAGGCTGGTTGAAACTCACCACCCTCTTGCCTTTTCCTTCTGAGTGCTGGAATTATAAGAATGATCCACTATGTCCAGCACATTTATCTGATTTTTGACTCACATATTTTGGAGAAGGTGGAGTCTTAATATTTCTCTTCCTGATTGCTCCTTGCATTGTGTTTTAGTCCTGCAGCAAAGCAAATGCCTGCCGAAGGAAATGAACATTTTTTTCATATACATTTGTAGGAAGTCATATAGACTTAACTGCTAATACCTATTGGCCAACTGGTCAATGAAATTGTCAAGCATTGATCTGCCAAGTTTCCTTGATTCTAAGATGCGTACCCCCCACCTCCGCCCTTGCTCAATTTAACTTTCTAAAAATAGGGACATGTCTGCATCTTACTTAAAGAAGTATTGGCCATCGCTCCTCTTGAGAAGCTGTCATGAAACCCATGGTGTTTCCTATAGTCAATGGCCTTTTGGAATTGAGGAAATATTCTAGGAAATATGTCATTTTTCTTTTGTGTATTTCTCACATCCAGATACTCCAAAATCTTTGCTCTCGGACCACACTCCTACTGGAGCTTGTATTGCAATTTCTGGTGTCTCCAATGTTGCCCCAGCAGGATGGGATTTCCCTCTGTTGACAGAGAGGCAGATGATTGCAGGTTATCAAGGATGAAGTCTGGCTAGGCGTGCTCCCTGCAGTTTATGAGAAACAGCTGCTTTCCTTGTTGAGGCACTTGTTTGAGGCTTTCCTCTCCATTCCCCATCCTGCAAATCTAGTTACTAACAGATTAATCAGTTGATTCCAGTCACAAAGAGCTCAAAGCTCTGGCAGCCCATTTGAAAAATGACTGCCCCATGCTAGCAATAGGAAATTTCCTAGACGTAGGCAAATAGCTTGATCAATGATTCAATTAATGATTACAGTCTGAGTGATTTTCTCCTCTTTTTGTTTTTGCTATTTCTTCTTAAAGCTTTCAGGTGGTGTAGGTCAGAAGTTGAGCAACAGAGTCATTGTCCCCTAGGTTAGGACTTCTCAAATCTTGATCTACACAGGAATCACTAGGTGTCTTTTAAAATGCAGATTCTGATTCAGTAGGTCTGGGAATGAGATTGGAGGTGGAGGAGTTGAGACTCTGTGTTGATAAGAGTCACCCAAATGAGGCCACTGTGGCTGGTCTTTGGATCACACTGAGTTGTAGGCCTTCCATAGTTTAATCTCTATTTCCTGCTTCAAGCTGGTTCATGTTAGCCAGGATAAGGAATATCTTTTCTTTCTTTCTTTTTAATTGGCATATATTAGTTGTATAAACTAATATTTCTACATATGCATACAATATGCCTCAATCATCCTTCTCTTCCCTTCCTAAAACAATTTCAACAGGTTTCATTGTTCTATGTTGAAATGTGGATATAAAGTACTTCAAACATGTTCATCCTTTTCACCTTCTTTCACCTCCCTCCACCCGTTGATACCCATGTTCGAATAGGACCTGTTTTATGTTTTTGTTGTTCATTTTTAAAGACTCAATGAGGAATACATTTTCTAATCTGATCCTCCAACACTGTCAGAAATGAATAAATAAATAATGATTCAAAGCCCATGGAAAGTCATGAGGTCACAGATTCTATCTTTTGAATTAATAAATAATTGGTAAGCCATGACTTTGAATTCTAATTTATTGCAAATCAAAATGTTGGGACTAGACCTTTAAAGCACTTACGTACAGAAAACAGAATTAAGCAGATATAGTTTTTCTCATGAAATTTTCTTCCTTTCTTCTGTTTTTGTGCTGGGAATTGAATCCAGGGCCTGAGACTTTTTTTCTTTTCAGGACTGAGGGTTGAAATTAGGGCTTCACACTTGCTAGGCAGATGCTCTACCACTTGGCCACTCTGCCTACTAGGTCCCTGTTTTTTTGATTCTAAATCATCCATGTGTTTATTCTTTTCCCTCACCACTAGGGACCTAGTCCAGTTAACTGCTTATGGAAAAGGATGAATCCTTTGAAGGTATGGAAATACTTCAGGTTTTTCTTGCATATTCTCAGGATAGTTGTATTTTGAAATTGCTATAATGGTTTTAGACCATTAATTTGGCTCATTTTATGTTGCTTTAGATCTGTTCTTATTTCCACAATTTGGTTAAACTGTAAGTTCATTATAGATGGAGGTCATGCCTTCTGTTTTATAGGCTGGAAAACTGAAAATAAACTTAACTCATCGAGTCCCATTTTCTCTTTAATATTTGCATCTCTAGGTGCAACCGGGTCACTCACCTGCCTACAGAGCAAAGCAGCAGGTAGAGGAGTCCTTGCTGCCAATGGGAGCATGATTCCTTGAACCTAGGAAACTATGTGAAGCAAGACTCTTTCTGGATTCTAAAAGCCATGATTTCATCATGGATCAGAAACAGTTGTTATCAAAAAGTCACCAGAAAAAAGTAGTGAACATATCACATTAGTTTGAGAAAGTGGCTTCTTAACTTTGAAGAATTTCTTGGGAGAGTAGCTAAACTAATGATATAACTGCTAAAGTGGCTGCAGGCAAGGAAAAGCATCTTCTCTTTGACAAGGTACAATCTGGGTCTGATTCCTCTGCCTTTTGGAAAGTGATGGTACTGGTGGTCTATCTAAGATTAATAAAAGCAGTGACATTATGGAAGCATCACAGGTCATGAATTTGTACCAGTTTATTCAGCTTTATAAAGACATCGCAAGTCAAGCAGCAGGAGTGTTGGCTCAGACCTCCAGCTCTGATGAACCTGATGAAAACTCATCCTCTTTATCACCTTGTCAGGCTAGCCTTTGAATGAGAAGGGTGAAGCAGCTGACTAATGAGGAGGAGTGTTGTACTTAGACAGATGGGCGAGTTGACCTCAACCTGCCTTGTGCTCACAGCTTTTGTCAGAGTGTATTGATGAGTGAAGCGATCAACACAGGAATTGTTTCGCTTGTCGCCTACAGAGCAAATGAACTTTGGGTGGTATGGGATGCACCCACTAAAGAAGATGTGGCTAACTACATTCTTAACATGGCTGATGAGGCAGGCCAGCCTAACTACCTGTGACCTTGGGGAAGAGTTTCTTTTGCTGTTGTGGTCATGGAGGAAGAATGAAGGGACACTGTGGCACAGACAGAGAAAAATCCATTTTTCCCACCCCCTTATTTTTGCTATTCTGACAATATGCCCCTTTATTCAAAAAATAAACTTCCAATGTCTTCCATTTATGGTAAACTAAAAAAAAAAATTGCATTTCTACAAGCTGCCTTTTCTTGAAATACATTTGGTACCAGGAATTTTACTGCTTTCCATTTTATTTTTTGAACAGCTTTGAGTGTCAGAAAGCCTTTCTTAGTACTGAATCGAGTTGTCTGTCTGGAGTTTTTGTCCACTTGGCCAATTTTATTCCAGGGAGGTAATTCTTTTGTCTTGAAAAGACTACGGACACTTAATGCACATGGTTGGGTAAATGATTTTCTCAGGTCCAGGGCTTGGGCTTCTCTTTGTTGTTAGCTATTCCATATGGAGCAGAGCAGCTTCAACTCCCATCTTTCAGGAATAAACCTAGGGTCAGGTCCAGAGCTACATTGCCAGAAAGTGCCTGTGTCAGGTAAAATAGGACAATCAGTACTTGTAAGACTTTACCCTGCTTTCTTATGATTTTCTACATTTCTTTCTTACATCCAGCTTTAAATGAAATGCAGGATGAAGATTCACACATCCAATTCAATAGGAATCCAATCAATGGATCCAATTTCTTTTTTCTTTCTTTCGTGGAACTGCGGTCTGAACTCAGGACTTTCCACTTGCAAAGTAGGCACTCTTTGCAAGTCTCTAGTTGATTTTGCTCTGGTTATTTTGGAGATGGGATCTCTTTGAACTATTTGACCTGTCTGGCCTCAAACCTCAATCTTCCTGATCTCAGCCTACGAAATAACTAGGATTAGGATTACAGGTGTGAGGCACAGACTCTAATTCCTAAAATATTTATTTTTTCTTTAGTTCTTACCTAACGCAAAATTTCAAAACTGGCAAAATGAGAATTTAGCCTTCCTTTCCTATCCCTCTTTTCAGAACCTTTCTAGTCTTCCTACTTTATACTCCATGGGTGATCTGTTCTCTACGGCTTTTCTCTTGCAGTATCATCTCTGCCTTGGACCACACATTCAAAACTTATCTGTTTCTTCTTTCTGATTCTCTCAGAAGCTGGCTTTATCCAATGTGACCTTGGCTATTAATGGGTTTTGGTCTCCTTAACGAATCCTTCATAATGTAGGGGATAACTGGTGCTTTATCTGCCTGCCTCAGCATTATTGCTTTTTAATTCTGTCAAACATGTTTCCAGACAGCCCTGAGGTGATGGTTTTACAGTGGGAAGGGATGGGCACTGTGATGAGATCATGGATTAGAAACTGTTTTGGTCTGTGGGTCCCTTGTACAACTTCACATCTCACATCTCCCTCATTAGATAATACTAGCACTATTCTCTATAAACAACAATAATAGCTCTTATTATATCTCATTAGTTATCACATCTCCTTTCTATGTTCCAGGTACCGTGCCTAGGGCTTAACAGATTTTTGTTTTAATGTTCATAACAATCCTGTGCTGTAGCAAAAATTACTTTTATTTTACAGATGAGCACACTGAAGTTCAGAGAGATTAGATAACTTGCTTATCATCACATCGCTACCACACTGCAGAGACAAGACTCAGACTAAGGTCCGATTGACTGAAGCTTATGCAGCCTTCATTTCTCTATCTGACAGATCAGGAGTTCAAAATGAATGGGACTCCCTAGACAAGCCCTGCTGTGGTCACCTAGAACACAACCTTCCTACTTTAAGTATGAAAATTGACCACCTTGCTCTCAGCTCTTCTTCCATTTTTAAAAAAAAATTTTTTTGCACTGAGAGAGCCTTGCTGGCTTCTGCATGCACAAGAATAACAAGTATATGTTATTTAATTATAAGAATTTATTATAGAACAGGAGAAGGGATACTAACAAATCCCATCTGGGCTAATTGAAAAGAGCTGTGTTCCTGAGTATGTGTGGCTTTTCTTTTTTTTTTTCAGTTCCAGCAAGTTTTTGGCACATGAAGCATGGCACGGTTTAATAGGAGCTGGGTGACTGAGACATCTCTGAGCTATTTCTGAGACTGCAAGCTGGTCCATCACCTTTAATGCATGAGAAATGAAGTTTCCCTACAGTATCAGCTCTAGACAGGTGGGTTTGTACCTGTGCCTAGCCTTTTCACATTTTTTAAAAGACATCCCAATGTAAATCTCCTTTTGGAACAAAGGCAATAAGAACCCTCAAAATGCTGCATTCTAGATAAATGCATGCTTGCTAAAATTTACAGGGTTTCCCAGAGTGGCCACCCACAGAGGAAGCAACATCTGGTCATCATGCTGTCACAACAGAGGAGAGCAGTGCTGGGGCACAGGGTAAAACAGAATGCTCCTTGTGACTGGATGGAAGACATGTAGTGGCTGGACCCCCAAAGCAGGAGATCTCCTCAGGCCAGGACAGGTGGAGCTGACTAAGGTTGTAGGTCCCTAGGTGTAGTCATAATTGTTCTGTGATACCTTAGTAATTTTGAAACGGACTTACATATTAATCAGAAAAATATGAATCTCTCCAGAGAGATGGTTGTATGTTTTCAGCTCAAAAGAAGGATCAATTAGTATTTTTCAAGATCAGTAAAGAAACATCTCTAGTCTTGGAAATACATTTAACTGAGCTTTGTTAGCCATGAAAGATAATTTTTATTCATTAATTCACTCATACATTCATTTATCCATCATATGCTTACCATGTGTCCCCTGTGATTCAGTCTCTGTGTTAAGTGCTTAAGACATAGAGAGACCCAGAGTCTGTCTTTACCCTTGAGAAGCTCCGAGACAAGAAGGAAAGACCCACAGATTTAAATAACTGTGGTTCATCATGCTTATAAGAAACCTGAGAAGGGACAGTAACCAGTCTGCTGGTGTCCATGAAGGTCTTATAGGGAAGGTATTGTCCTGCTGCATAGTCCAGAAGTCTATATTTACACAGTATCCCCCTTCCGAGTAACAAGAAAAGAGACAAAATGATTGAGTAAATATTAAGTGTGGGAGGACAGGGGTGGTAAATAAAGAATGGGATTTTTGTTCAAGGGATAGTGTAGGCCAGTGCGGACTCTGTCTTCAGATGACTGAGGTTGGAATCTCTGTCATTTCCTATGTATGTGGACCAGAGTAAAATGTTAACACTTCCCAGACCCAGTTGCCTCAGTGTTTTTAGATTTCATCAGGAGAAGATGTGCAAAGCACTTTGCTCAAGGCCTGGCTTAAATGTTAATAAATGCTAAGTCATCATAATGCTGTTATCATCAGAGGTGTTCTTTCATGACTATCCTTCTAAACTTCCTGAATCTTCTGTCCCTGATTTTTGCCTCCACAGAAAAATAGAGAAATAAGGACAAAATAAAGCTAAGAGAACACACATGTATGTGCACATGTATACACATATGCATGTAAAGTAGGTTATGGTGATGATCATCATGCTGTCTGTCAGAGTTGGTGGACTAGATAGAGCTATCTTCCAAAGAACAGAAAAACAGTGCTCTTTCAGATTCTTCTCACCACAAATTCTACTTTCATCTCGCTAATCTTGTTAAGGCAAAAATATTAGTCATATGTAGTAATAAAATATGATTAAGATAACATGAAGATCTAGTAGTACCAGATAATCTAAAACCCTCCTACTGTCAAACTCCTTTTATAAATTCTAGTATAATTCCCAGGGGCAAAGGAAAAATAAAAAGAGGGCCACTGAAAACCAAAAGAGAAAGAGTGTGAGCTGAGTGGATGCTGTAGCTACAAGTGGGAATGGGAGGTGAGGTTGGGGTCCTGTTGAAATTGAGACCTCTTCATAAAACTGTAGCTTTCAAAAGGTTGTGCCTTCACTAAAGGGTGATTGGAAAGATCTACATAGTAGAGAAAGATGACAAGAAAGAGAGGCCTGCCACCTTACATGGATTTGGAACCTGAATTTAAACCCTTTGCATGATTCTGTAGCCACCTGAGCCACTCCCAGCTGGAAAATTCATACAGAAGGTGACTCACGCCAGTGAAATCCAAGCAGTGATAACTTTGGGACACCTTACCAAAGCAATGACTCTGACCAATATATTTAAAGACAAAAATTCATTTTTAGGGATAAGAAGGACCATTTCATTAGGCTAACATAAGAAATTCATAATTTTCTAGTACTTAATAATATGGCCTTAAATATATTTAAGGTAGGACTCAATCGAACTATTAAGAGAAATTTAAAAATCTCCACATAGTGGGGTTTAAGAACCAACTCTCTTAGTAAATAATAGATTAAAGGCTAAAAATTAATGAGAGTATCAAAAGTTTGAATAACTAAATTAACTAACTTGATTTATTCCACACATATAGAACAATTGAAGTAACAAAGGAAGTCTCATAAAATACCAAAGACTTAGCAATATATACAGTATATTCTCTGCCCATACTCCAATAAGATATGAACAGGAAAAGAAATACTCGAAATTACTCTACACACTTGGAGATTAAAAATAGAGAAGGGAATATACATCTGAAGATTATTTGGTTAATCCAATAGTCAGTATAGGAAAAGTTATGCTTCAATAACACACAGACCTAAACTATTACAATATCTTAAAAGAAAATATTGGAAGGTTTATTTCCCATGCATGGTACATTTCTAATGCAGGTCAGCTGGAGCTCTATCTCACATTTTCCTCCTTCTGGGATCCACATTGAAGGTGATCCCACCTTCTTGCCTGATACAAGTTGCAGTGGGAAGGGGAGGAGATAAAACAAAGTTCTCCACCCCAATGATCACTTCTGCTTATATTCTGTTGGCTAAAGTTCATCCATTGCCACAGTTGACTTCAAGAGGATGAGGACATAACTAGAAAAAAACTGGATATGTCAGTAACCAGCACTAATGACTATCATAAAGAGGAAATAGGGCTGGAGGTGTGGTGGCTCAAGTGGTAGAGAGCTTGCCTAGCAAGCACAAAGGCCCT